TGTGTGTGTGTGTGTGTGTGTGTACGTACGTTACCAGGTGACTGTCTTAGCCTGTTTATGTTGCTGTACCAAAATACCGGAGACTGTGTGATTCATAAAAACACACATTTATTTCTTATTATTCTGGGAAGGGCAAGATCAGGAGAGTGGTAGGTCTGGCCTCTGTGAGGGCCCATTGCCTGTAAATGGGGGTTTTCTGTGTCTTCACATCCAGGAGGGGCAGGCAGGGCAAGAAGAAACAAATGCTGTGTCTTCTCCTGGAAGAAAAGCAGAAGAGTTTTGTAAGGCCCTGATCCCTTCCTGAAGGCTCCACTTCCATGACTTAATCATTTCTCCAAAGGCTCCAACTCTCTGTGGCCCCACCACCAAGGAGATTACATTTCCACATGGAATCTTGAGGAAACATATTCGAACCATTGGCAGTAACCAGTGCTAATCAGTGTAGTCTGGGAAAGTTTTATGATAGACTGATATTAAAGCTGAGACCAGAAGGACAAACAGTGAGATGTTAACAAGCCAAGATGAAGGGGAGAGAAATCAGGATGAAAAGAGGGATGGCCCACATGAGGGACAGTTAGAACCAGCCCAGCCTGGAAGGCTGATGACTACCGATTAGTGGTTGAAAACCAAGTGGATATTTTTCAGACTTGTCTGCTTAAAAAACCATTCTTATCACTGTTTAACCATTCCTGATGCTTTTATAGCATTTATTTTCATGCCAAAGAATTGGTGAATATTATATCAGCATAAAAGCTTCTTGAGAATTTAAAGTCTTCAAAGGTACTTTTACTTATCACCTTCTGTAGGCTACGGTGGAGCTTCTTAAAATTTATAGAGTATATTAAAGAGCGTTAATTAAGTATAACCACCAATAAAAACATCAATGTATATATATGATTGCAAAAATTACATAAAGCTTATAAGGATATAAATAAGGGAATAAGAGGTATTTGTGGGTCTTTTCCCTTCAACTGTGTGAGAAGTCCATGATTGTGGGAGGTAACAGCTTATCAGCAGTGCGAAGAGGGATGTGGACAGAGCCTATGGGCAGGTAGCAATGCAGTATCAAATGATGTGATCTCCCGGTGACCAGTGTGGGTTTACTAAACTTCCAAAAATGATTAGTTTGATTGGAGGGAGACAAGTTTAATGACTGCAAAAGTATGTAAATTGTAGGTAGTGGTTTACCGAATAACCTACAATGTGAGCCTCCCAGGACACTCCAATAAGCACATCAGGGAATGCTCTCATCATCTCCTTTTGTCTGAGCTGGTGAAAAGCAATGCTTTTCAAAAGCACCTGAAGGATGGGAGAAGCTTGTTTTCCCAAGAGACACTGACAGAGCTCAGATGAAAACAGGTAAAATTAGAGGCACTCCAATGGAAACTGGTGGCTCTTTCCTCAGCTGGTCTGTATTGCTGCTGCTGCTCCCAGAGTCCCCTGCTAGCAAACATGGAACTTTCCAGGGGTCTAATACCAAGTCTGTCTATGTCACTGAGGAAGTCACGATATGCTACAAGGCCTGCATTTACATGCTCATGGTCTGTGGTGGGTAAAATAAGAAGTATAAAAGGAAACCATGTCTCAGAGGGACACAATTGGAATGGTAGTCCTACCAGGACTGTAGAGCTGTAGGGATCAAAGCACATAAACCACAGGGTTGAGTTTATCTGCCGGTGGACCACAGATGATGGGGCCAGGTATCACTTCAGTTCAGACCAGCAAACAAAGTATTTGAACATGGACAAAGATTGAATTATAATTTACACAAATTTTCCCATGATAGATTTTCATGATTTTTTGTTAGCTACCTGAAATAGCTTTATTTTATATTGGGGATGTGTGTTATGTACCTGTCACAGTATTCGCAGATGTAAGGATATATATATATATATATATATATATATATATATATATATATAAAATATATATATATATTAAAAGCTCAATGTAATGACATAAAAATGGATTCAGAATTCAGAATTCAAAATCAGACATCGCAGCAATCTTTAGCCAATAACTGTTAAGAATCTCACATGGAAATAGAAAAGATAAAACTTTCATGTGTTAGGAATTTATTTTTCATGAAGAACATTTTCTGCCTGCTCAAATAAAGTACTGTAAATCAGTTGATCATAAATCATGAATGCTGGTATTTGAATCATGCAAGTGTAAACTATGACCTCTAGAGGAGGTGCTATCCTTTCATCATGCAAAACAAAACATAATCATGGCAGAATGTTTCAACGGGGGAAAAAACACTAACATTCATTTGTGTCTCTGTTATTTTAATCAGTTTGGAAATAGAACCCAAAATTGACAATATTTTACTTATTATTATTTTTCTCTCTGTTTTACATGGCAGATGTTTATGCGTTCTTCCATGTAAATTAGAATTTTAGAGCCAAAAAGGAGAGGGTGGTCTCTTATTCTCCTGCTTTGGTATTTACATAAACCCGGGTTCGGCACTAGGATTGGTGTATGGGTGTGTTCTCATCTCTCCATCTTTCATCTCTTCCCACTTCTCAGCTCTCCCCAAGGAAAGGTTAGTGGGATTTAGGCACTGTGGGAAATATTTCTACCTTAACTGGTTTATGACTCTTCAAAGACCTGCTGAGGGGACTCAGGCCTCCCAGGAATCCTTGGGGACTCAGGCTGGCAACGCTGGAAACATTTAACCCTGGTCTAACAGAAGGCTTGTTGATCTTAACAACTAGCTGCCCCTTCAGCTTGTGTTGCAGAATAAACATGCACGGACTGGACAGGAGCCCAACCCATCCACATCAACCTGGTCCCAAGGCCTGCCAAGCCATAGCCTAAAGCAGAGGTGTCCAGCAGGGCCTACCCTGGATCACCAGAACCATGTCAACCTGCAGATGTATGCATGCAGGAGAAAGAATGAGCTGCTCTATGCCACCTCTTTTGGGGTGTTTTTTGGTCAGCTTTCCATTACTTACCACATACCTGAAATAGTCAGTTTACAAAGTGAAAAGCCTTATTTAAGCTCATGATTTTGTAAACTCCAGTCTGTGATCAGTTGTTCCTGTTGCTTTGGGCCTGTGATAAGGCAGCATGTTATGGGGGAGCATGTGCCGTAGCCAAACTGCTCACCCTGTGGTGGGGGGAAAAGGGAGAATTCATTCCTCAGTTCCCTTCCAGGCCGCACCACCAGTGACCTAAAGACCTACAACTAGGCCTCACCTCTTAAAGTTTTCAACCACCTCCTAGTAGCACAAAGGTGGAGGCCAAGCCTGTAACACAGGCTTTTGGAGGACATTCCCTAGCCAAACTGTAACAGTAGTTGGCTACCAGGACTATTATGGCAATTACTGGTCAACGAGGAACTTTAACCCAATCTCTCCACTGCCTCCTTCTAAGCAGGCCTGAAGGAAAAGGTATTCAACCAAAAAGTGCTTTGGTTCAAACAGTAAAGAAATCTTTGTTGCAGTTACATCATTGAGGAACACTTCCATCATCCTTATGGTTGTACTTAAAACTAAAAAGGAATTCATACCCGCAACTAGGGCTTTGTTGCTCATAAAATGTAGGCTCCAGAGTTTTCCAGCAAATCCTTAGATGAAGTAACTAAAGCCATCTTCAGAATCAGATGCAAAGCTAACTTGACTGATCAGAGTTTGCATATCTTGTCCCCTCAGAAAAAAGAGGGGACAAGCATTTTCATCTGCATTTAACATCCCAACTACAGTCTGCCTAGGCCATTATTCTTCCTGTTCAATTGGTAGACAACATATAGCTTTCTCTGCCGCACAAAGACATTTCCGTGATGAAATGAGAAATTGCAGACAATATCATGAGTTAAAAGGAAAACAGAAGGGCAGAATTCACTCTTTTCTAAGTTTGTGGCCTTGGACTGGGCACTCAATACCCCCGTTCTTTGTGTTGTCACATTCTCTCTGAGGTGACACATGCTCCAGCTCCATCTCAGTGGTGGTGCGAGAATCCTGAGTGATAATGCTATGAAGCTGCAACAAGCCACACCTTATGGGAAGCAGATGTTTGGAAGCAATGTATCCTACTCTGCAAAGCACTGGCTTTGAAGTCACATGGACCTGGCTTCTGACTCCAACTTTGCCATTTACTAGGTGTGTGATCTTGATGAAGTTACTCTACCACCACTCACATATCCTGCAAAGATGGGTAATATGCCCACTTTAGATTTGTGAGCACCAAATTAAAAGAGGAAAACAAAGATTTAGTGCAGTATTATAGTTTAAATATAAAGTGTTCCCTAAGACTCATATATTCAAAGCTTGATTCCCAATTCAGCAATGCTCAGAGATGGGGCTTTTGGAAGGTAACTGGAGCACGAGGACTCTAATTTCATCAGTGGACTAATAAATTAATAGGATTACAATTTGATAGCATTTCTGAGAGATGATGGAAATTTAGGAGAGGGGCCTAATTAGATGAAGGAGACCCCTGCAGATGTGGCTTTGAGGATTATAATTTGTCCCTAGCTTTCCTTCTCTTCTTCGCTTCCTGGCCATCCTGGGGTGGGCCGTGTTCCTATCCTTTTACCGTGCCTTCTGCCATGATGTTTCCACCTCATCACAGGTATAAAGGAATGGAGCCAGCTGACCATGGACTGAAACCTCCAATGATGAGCCAAAATAATCTTTTCCTCCTTTAAGTTATTTACCTCCATTTTTAAATTTTACAGCCATGGAAAGCTGTGTCTAGCACACAGTGAGGGCTCAAAAGTTTGGGAAGCAGTTTTCTTATTATGTATTAGCCACTTGTTGGGGCAATGGTTGTGGGCACAGGCAGTGATATTCTGCTATCACACTGACCTTTGCACCAGGGAGAAAGTTCAGAAATTTACCCATCACTTTGGCCTTTGCTTGCAATCGTTAAAGACTCATCTCCTCCTCTCTTCTGCTACTGACCATGGGTGCTATTTTCCAGGCTAGAGAGTTTACCAGCTTCCTTTCTTCTGTGACTCCTCCACCAATTAGAGACTTTGGTTGTTCATTCTACAGGATAATGTCTGGAGTAGACCAAGTGTCCAGGAACATCAGCCTAGCTCTTCCCTGAAGATTGCCCCCACCTCTAACCCTGCATAAGTCACTTCCCCAAAACTTGGGGTCTTTGCATGTGGAAGCCGAGATGTGCCAGAACATAGTTGGAGCCAGTGTGGATGCATGAAAACAAACCAATAGCTGGGATCCTTGTTTTCAACTTGTAAAATTTTCAAAGTGTTATTCGTTGGAATATGAAAGTGGAGAAAGCTCATACTCCACAAATATGGACTTTCAAAGAGCCATACCTTTTCCTGTTTTCTATCAGGAAATATTTCAAGGAGGGCTAGAGAACATTAAGATTCACTTAAAAGTTCTAGCTACTTATTAGTAATGTAGTTCATTTTATAAAAGACCTGCCATTCTGTTAGATGTTAGAGTAAATAAAATTTAATTAGTGCATCTTTATTTTCATATCAATTAAACATCATTCTGTTTTCATTACAGAAAAATTTTAAAAAGAAAGACATATTGAAAGAAGAATCAAAAGTCAAACATAGTTCTTCATCTACAGATGATATCCATTTGCATTTTAATATATTTTGCTTTTTCTTTTATTATTATTTTAATTAATACAAATCATGTATATTTATGGTGTACCACACGATGTTTTGATGTATGCGTAGATTGTGAAATTACTAAATTAGCTGTTTACGTGTGCATTATCTCACATATTTTTGTAGTAAGAGAATAAAACTATAGTCATCACATTTTATGATAGTTCTCTTGAACTTACTCCTCCTATCTACTGAAATTTTGTGTCCTTTGACCAACATTCTTCCAAACCCACCCAGCCTCTGATAATCACCATTCTATTCTCGTCTTCTAAGAGTTTGTCTTATTCAGTGTCCATAAATCAGGTCCTGTGGTATTTATCTTTCTGTGCATGGATTATTTCATTCAAAATAATGTCCTCCAGATCATCCATTTATCTATGGTGATGCGAATGACCATGTATATATCATCCATTGCTAGACCCTTCCATTGATTCAATTTCTTGGCTATTGTGAATAATGCTGCAATGATCATGGGAGGACAAGTATTTTATTAGGCAGTGACTTCATTTCTTTGGGGTTTATACCCAGATGAAGGTTTGTTGGGTCATATCATAGCTATATTTTAAAATTTTTTTGTGTGGAAACTCCACACTGTTTTCCATAGTGGTCATACTAATTTCTAGTTTCTTTTTTTCCTCTAATGGATAATTTTGACTAGATTATTTCCAAGATAATGTTTCTGTTCTTCTGATAGAGGGCTGGTGTTTTGGTGAAGATCTGTGAATGTCGCAAAGCTAGACCTTTTTCAGAGTCAATCTGTGTTACTTAACATCCTCGGCTTTCAGACTTTCCAAGCCCACAACATCTAATCAGGCTTTCCAAAGCATCCAGCAGCACAGTGCTGACAAACACTTGCTTAAAATGTGCGTCCAAACCTCAACTATTTAGCTAAAAAATTAAGAGACCGGTTCCAGCAAATTGATTCTTGTGTTATTCTCAGTTCCCCTAAAAAAGAGAATAATATGTTGCAACTGACAATAGCAGAGGCACCTTATTTGGATTTGTTTTTCTGAGTGTCTTCCATTTGGGATTTACAAAATCCACATGAGCTCTGAAAAAGCTACAATTTCCTGTTTATTGAGCCCGAAATGGAAAAATAGCAAATACAATGAAAAACAGCAACTTAGTTGACAGACTAATATATATTAATCCCATTGCCATGATTGGGAGACAGAAAATTCTTATTGAATAAGACTCGTTCATCAAACCAAATATTTCCTAAGGCTCCAAAGTGTGTATCTGGCATTGCTTCTTCCTCGCACATCTGCTTCCGTCTTTGAACTCCGATATAAATCTGAAGGTCGAATGCAGCTGCACAGTTCTAAGATAATTAGTTCTTTCCATTATGTATTACGATTGATAGGGCAGACCTCAAAAACATTCAGAACTTGGATTTGCATAAACTTTGGGCAGCTAGAAGACTTTTCCAAAATTCTGATCAATCTTCTGGAAAAAAAAAACAAAACAAAAACCTTGTACCGTTTCCAATCCCTTCCTGGCATCTTTTACATTTTACCTCTTCTTTGAGTATTCTCCCTTTAGCCCATTTCTTTGCATTTTTATACTAATTGCTGGCAGCTTGTATGGTCCTCTCTGGAATATTTCAAAGACAACTGACCTGAAGGAGGTGGCTGTAGCCCTAGTGAGTATGCCAGTGAAGCAATAGGCTGGCTTTTTATATTAAACATGAAGGATTTTGACTGCATTTCCTCCAGAGCTTCGTGAATTTGGAAACATCTATAGAACAGCAGTTTTACAATTATCTCCTCATAAGAGATGAAACCCATCATCCCCAAGAATGTTGACAGTGCTTCAAGTCATGTATTAAGCTCTCCTTCCCTAGCAGGACAGTCATCCCTAGAGAGGTCCAGGGCCTCAAGAGAAAGACTGCAGCTGTTCTTCTGTTAGGTCCACTGATTTATGTCCATGAGAGTGGAGAGGGCGCCAAGAAAGAGATGAGTCAAAATCTTAACACCCCAGAGGACTCTGAACTGCAAAAGAGAGATCCAGGAGCTGGCCTGAGGGTAAGTACAGCATCTAGGTTGGGAGAATAAGTGCATCAAGCATTCCTTTCCAATAAATGCAAACTAATGGGTAACTATTATTTCCCAAACTTAGTTTCATGAACATAGCTTGAAAAGGAAATTTCTATTTGTCAATAGCACTCTTATTAGGGTTATAGTTAGTGAACAGACATATCATATTCCAGTTGCTAATTTTCCTGGAATGGAAAAATGTCTTTCTTGTTAAAGGTACATGAATGACTGGTGCAATGTCTGACCGTGATACGTAAGGATAATTTGCAGGCGTGCTGGTAGCAGTGTGCTCCTTTTCTTGTCTTCTGTGTATTGCCCTTATTAGGAATATGTATATTCTGCTCAGCCTAAAACTGCTATAGCAGTCAAGCCTTTCGGTTGTACACACAGACACACACACGTGAACACACACACACACACACACACACACACCTTTGTCTAGAAATTCACAGTATCTAAATGTTTCTTTATTTTTATAAAACCAGATTTCAGTGTCTGGCCAAAACCCTGGTAGTAATCTTAACCCAGCAGGGAAGTATGTTGTTTTTATTTGTTCTACTCTATGCTCCATTTGGCTGGGCAGGCAGGAAGCCAGGGAGAAAGAGTAAGTGGGTCTTTTGACCACTGTTTTTCTTAACTCCTTGTCCTCTTTGGCTTCTCGACCCCATGCTGGCCTGGGACTCTTCCTGCCTCTCTGCCTTCTTCCACTGCTGGGGACTGCTGGCTGCTCTGCCCTCTGACACCTCAGGGTTAGAATTTTTCAAGCGTTGGTCTCAAGTCTTCTTTTATTGTCCCTCCACCCTCTCTTTAAAGGCAATAGTATCCACTTTCATGGCTCCCAGATTTATGCCTCAATCCCAAATAAATCTTTTGAGTCCCAGAATCATATTCAAATGCCTATTTGAAATATTATAACCTCTCTCTCAAATTCGGAGTGTTGACTTCAAGACCAGTTTCCCCTTCAGGCTTCCTTTCTGTGATAGAGCAAAGACCCCCTGATTCATTTGGTACTCCTTCTAGCCCCTTCTCTTGGATCTGGGTGAGCTTGGTCAGGGTGATGCTGTGGAGTTTCTGGCCCCAGCCTTGAAGAGGCTGGCAGCTCCCACGTGCTATCTCTGGGAATACTTGCCATTGATCCAGAATGGAAGTTTTAGGTGCAAATAGGATGATGCCATGATCAAATACCAAAACACATCATTGTCTCTGGGACCATGTGGAGCATTGGCTTTGGGCTGGTGGTAACTGGAAGGACCTCAAGTAGACAGCTGACAGTGACTTAAAGGACAACAAGGAAAAGATCAGGGAAGAGATGACTTGCGTTAAACAGCGGTGAAAAGTATAGAAAAACTCATCTGTAAAATACAGAAAATAGAAAATGTCTCTAATGAACCTGTGGATATGGCAAAGGAGTTTTCCAAGTAAAATGCTGAAAGGGTCAATGACTTTCTTTTAGATATATATGATAAAATATAAGAGAAAAATGAACTTTAAAAACAAACAAATAAGGTATGTTTTCAACTTAATTTTGAAGACACATAAATGAACCCCAGACTTTCTGGGCTCAAAATAAAGTGTGTCTCACCCAGAAAAGAATTCTCAGAGTCAGAAATATGTTTGAGGCATCTTGGAATGGTGGTACATGCTTCTAATCTCAGAATTTGGGAGGCTGATGCAGGAGGATCATGAGTTCAAGGCCAGAAGACCAGCTTGGGTTACATAGAAAGTTCAAGGTCAATCTTAACTATATAGTGAGGCCCTATATCAAACAAACAAACAACAACCAAATGAAAGAAAGAAAAGAAACAAGGAAAGGCAAAAAAGTTAGCTTTGGAGAAACAACCAATATCAGAACTCAACTAAGAAAGCATAGTCTCAGAGCAAACATCTTGAGCACATAGCTTTAAGATCTTTTGGTAAGACTTCAAAAATATTTAAGAATGTACCTAGTAGAACTCATCAAAATCAAAAGCAGTGTGCCTAAGAATTATAGATACTTTAATTCAAACAACAAATGTATTAAGAGCAATATTCCATAGCAGCCTTACCAGCCACCCAAGGCATAGAGAGGAGTCTCTCTTGGGAAGAAATGTGGATGTAACTTCCGTGTATGGCACTGATTATGAACTGATAAATAAGAAGCTCATAAAGATCTTTAAGAAATGGTATCAACTAGAAAGAAAAAAAAGGCCACAGAGTAACAAGAGGTACTTAGATCCCCCAAATGTGCACAGGAAAGGAAGCAGTCTGGGAAAAGTCATATTGACTGCAATGTGGGTTATTTATTATAGAAGAGGTAGGATGGATCCAATAATAGATCTAAGCATCCAGAGAGTAGAGCCAATAGTTCTGCAGATTGATTCCCAGGCAGTAGGAATTTCCCTGATCAAGAAACTGGCAACATGTGCTGGTGTGAATTGTAAACTTGTGAAGAGCCAGGGACAGTGTTGTGGCTGAGCTCTGTGTCTTTTGCACAGGACTCCCATAGTTACTCTGTGCTCATTCCACTTTGTGGAAACGAAACATTTTCAGATCG